CTCTAGTTCAGCAAGTCATTTTTGTTTTATTTCCATTGCCACAAGTTACACCATCTCTGAGTGGGCGATTTTTTTTACAATCACATCCGATGAGAGTATTTTACCAAACTCAAATACGCGATCTATTGGTAGAATAATGCACGGGTTCGTTTGGAGTATTTTCAGTGCGAGTTCGAACTACAGTGCATTTGGACGATCATGATCATATCCCATACTGTCCGAACCTATCCGATGTTGCTCGACACAACACAATGTTGTACTTCTCTATCCAATCCAATCCAATCCAGTGGTGTTATTATAATAAATGACTTTGGTATTTAGAAGGGGATAGCACACTGAATTCAAATTCATTACAATAAGTAGTTAGGAATGAAATGTAAAGAATGGAAATTACATATTTACGAAGAAATTCGCGGAAACTTCAATCAGAACGGTGGGACGACCGACTGTCAGATTTCGATTAGTGAAAACTCGTACTTCCATAATGTTTGCTGTTAACGCATGTTTTTTTTTTTTGTTTTTTTGTTTTTTTTTCAATTTTAGAAGGCTTCATAACCAGTCGTTTTAATGGATGGGAGATTTGCATCTTTTCACTTTATTTGTTTCGCTCCATTTTTTTTCTCTTATTGTGTCAAAAAACCAAAATTATATTTAAGTTCAATATATATTAGTGGCATTGAACTTCGTTTGTGTTTCTGTCATCTAGACAGTACAGTGTTGGTGTTATAGGCAACAAATCAAACATAGATGAACAATATATACCAATAGAAACACAGCGATAAAGACTTTCCGTTTTCGACATTGTGCAATTCTTTCGTTTTTTGGAAGAAAAACAAATTGGAAAAAGATTTATATTACGAATAATTCATAACGAAATATATTTCCTGTGCACAAGAATATTACAAAAAAAATGATAATTTGCTATATTCTCTATATTTTTGCATTTTATTTGTCTTGAATTATGACTGAAAGAAGCTGAATAAAATTACAAACTATGTAGTGTCTTCAACATGTATGAACAATAAGTTTAATAAATATGATTTTGGTAAAAATGCTGTATTTTTCTGCATAAAAACGAAAGAATTTCACGATGTCGAAAATGGAAAGTCTTTATCGCAGTGTTTAGAGGAAATAATTCCGTCACCTTAATTCAGTTAACCGACAAGCAAGTGATACTGACCATGCATACTATGGGCATATCCATGCTTTAATCCGATGACGTACAAGTGAATGCCGAAAAAAAATGACTCAGTTAAAAATTTCGTTTCAGTCTATGGTAAAAGACTCACAATTCATAGCTGATATAGATGACGGGGAGAACGTTGGTCTTCTAGCTGTTCTTTAAAATGCAAAAATGTTCGTATACTATATCTGTAATCGTAATGTTCAACGCTTAAAGCGGGGAGTCGTAACCTGCGCATGCGTCAGATGGCCATAGCGTGCCATTGTTTACAAACAAGCGTCTACCTAAGAGCCTTTGCGTTTTAGCGTGTGTTGTTGGAACTCAATTCCCGCGCGTGCGCAGGTGACGACCCTCCTGCTTTAAGTGCCAGTATAGCACGGTATGCATTACCATCTGCGATAACACAAGCCTACATTTGTTGATTAGGCTTTCATATTTAACAAAAGGCAAGACTACCATTGTTTCACTATGTTTTCTACATCATAAATTTCATTGATTGGATGTGCGTAAACGTTTAGTATATCAATTATCCAGATTATACATGGCATCTAGTATTTCGAAGCTTTTGTTCGAAGCTTACGAAAAATCGTAAATATTTTTAAAACGTTACCACTGGGGGCTGACTACTTCTAATCACTGAATGCTTTCACCTGTACTCGTTCGTGTGAAAAATATGACAAATCTGTTTCATTGGTCAAGTGTTTCTATTTTCAATTGCTATGGGACTTTTCATCGTGAGACTTAGTTGTGGTTTGCCTGGAACTGATGCGCAAGAAAATATTTTCAAAATGCAAATAAAAGTGTTGAATAAATAATTGTACGTGAGTACGTAATTTCTAGTCTGAGTTCTGAGTGTGCTGCGCCCTCAACGTTACCATACTCAAAATAACTTTTAAACGTAATCCTTGGGGCGGACATCCGGGCATTTTCATCGCTTGGCAACCCTGGCGGTGAAAACAAAGGCCAAAAACTCTCAGAAAACGGTACTTTGGGATGGTGGTTGAGACTCCCCTGAACAGTAAAACAAGATTAGCCCTACGTGTGTAACATATTTAAATTTGGTTGTTCAGGATTACTTCAAAGTTGAGTTTGTGTTGTTTTCTCGAATTTTCACCGGCTCTACCGGCGTTCCACAGCAGCGCGAAAAGAGCCCATAGAAATGCATGTACAGTGGTGCGCGTCTTAGCAACGTGGAACGTCTTGTGACGTAGCTCCGCCCCCGAGGATAGAATATGATTTGCAACCGCAGAACACATAGCTGTGTACACAGTCATTATACGCACACCGTTCCCCTGTACTATGGTTTTAAATTCGTATGTACACTTGTTGTACACTAAAATATAATAAAATCATTATAACCCCCGTGTCGGTCCATTGTAAGTGCAAGTCACATCTTTAAAAACCGGATAACCAATTGTGATTAAATTTGTTATCTTTACACTTCGGAATGATGAAATAGCGCTATGACTGAAGTTCCCTCAGTCTACTCCTGCAATCGGCCCACCATGTGACCGTCGGGCGCATGGACAGTCACCGTAGTGCAACACCAGAGCCGAGTCTAGTAGGGTTGGATCCCGGAACAGATCACAATAGGGTGAGAGAACGAAAAGTCAAAGATGTGGTCGACATTTAGATGTTTGCCACCAAAAGAAAAACGAAGTAGCCATAATAAAGTGTGTGTCTCCGTTGCATTCGGTAATTTTGTGTAGGTCTCAGTTAAGTATAAGCTTTCTATTGAATTAATTTAACGAGAATTTGAATAAATTTCGTTATATTATATTCATATTCTAACCACTTGTCGAAAACAAATTTTATATTTCAACCTTAGGCTGTCATTTTGTTCACAAATATAATCACTGGTTATCTCTCCGTCTATATCGGAACATGAAAAAAGATGTTTTTGCTACACCAGAAAATAATTCACAAACAAAAAAGGGTACTACAGAAATTAATTCACAAGGAAATATGGTGTTACAGATCTTTACTCCTATTGATAAATGTAAAAACTGTAAATTTGTTTTTGTGACCGGCGCTCCTAATTAATTTAATCCATGTGGTTTTGTTCGAACATGACATTTTATTCTGATCATAGCGCCCTCACATACATCACTTTTAAACGTACACATTATCATGAAAACATGCACACCATTTCAAAATAAAATGCACACATTGTTCATAAATAGCGCCCTCACACACATACTAATATTATTAAAGACAAATCAATTTAAACCAAACTCGTTTAAGGTAGAAGTCTTCATTCAATTCATTCATTTTCCAATAAATTGTACTTCCGGGCATTATAAGGATATTGCGTCATGTTGGGGGTCACCAGCTTAATTTTCTAGAAAATTATGGTTCTATTTTAGTAGATAGTGACCATTTTGGTAGTATTATAACGGTTCTACCATAGGTTCCCATGACAGAGATATTATGCCTTATCTCATTTATCCCTTATCACATTGTAGGCTGATAACATAGGAAATAAATCATGCGTTGTTAATGGTGAGGTTCCTTATTGTTGTCCTGAATTATTTGGAAAATCTGGGGTTTAAAAAATGTCAAAGAATGCATATTTTTCTTTAGCATTGTGCTCTATGGCATAGTTCAAAAATAAAGATTTTTGAAAAATATTAGGATAAGTTTCTCAACATACGTCTCATTAACACACAAAGGCA